GTGGTTCTCTCATGACAAGTTCACTTTAAGGGACATAGTTATAAAGCAGTCAATGTGACTTTCACCAAACATTCACGGTCTATCACATACTGTCATTTGAAACGCTTGCTCCTGGAAGATTCACTTGCAGCACATGTTTGGTGAATATTTACTGCTTTCTGAAGTGTTGGAGGTTTCAGTGTGCAGCTCACCTCTCCGGGACATGTACTCGGCATTCTCCACATTCCCCGGTGCCAATTCCCAGCCTTGGACGGGCGCCCGCTCCAGTGGCTCTCTCCCAGGGAAGCTGTTTTCTTCTTTAGTAAATGTATCACCAGTGTTGGTATGCGGGATGGCGGGCACAAGGGCTGGCTTCTTCTAACGGAGAAATATCTGCGAGCAGAACTCTGACCCGGGTACAGGAATCAGAACTCGTCTTCTGTGGTTCCAGCCGCACAAATGGGGCCAAACCTGGAATTCTAAAGGTTACTGGACGTCGTTATTAAAGGGGAACTGCGGCCAGTAGAAAACACCTAGAGAATCACCAGTATACCTGTCAGTTGTTTCATCTTATGTGCTCTCTCCATTCCCACTTTTGATTTGGGATAGTCTGCAGGACTACACAGAACGTTACAGTCTATAAAAGCTCAAATGTTGGGCCATTCAGCAGGATTTGGACGGACATTGAGTAGCATATGGCCAGCTCTAAAGTGACACTAAACTTAAAAATACATTCAGGTACCTTAATTATTAACAATACTGGATCTTATTTGTGTATCACTCGGCTGTAGATCCTCAAATCATCTCTGAATTGGTGCTGACACTGTTCTTCCTTCTGGAGGGGGGCTGCTTTTGTTCCCCATGGTCCCAGTGTGTTGTAAAGTAGCCACCGCTCCAAGCTCCCTCCCATGATGGACTACAATCTCAATACAAATTAATAAACTAAACATGAGATTGTAGTCCATCACAGGAGTGAGCTTGGAGCGGTGACTACTTTACAACACACACAAGCACCATGGGGGATTGAGGTAGCCCCCCTGAAGAAGGAAGGACAGTGTCAGCACCAATTCAGAGATGATTTGAGGATCTACAGCCGAGTGATACACAAATAAGGTACATTTATGTTAATGGTTGGGGTACCTGAATGTGTTTTTAAGATTTAACCACTCAGGTTAGTGTAAGTTTAAGCTACAAAACGCACCTCTACACACATGCATAGATTTAAATGGAATCTTAAAACATATGTGATCCCCAAAACAAAAATGTAATATATCGCAGCTTACCATTCCTTAGATGTCGTTCTACGCTCGACGAACGCTCTACAAAACGCTCAAAAATCTAAATCCCATTGTATTCAATGGTCTCGTTCCCACCTTGGCGTATTTCCGGCCGTCCCTAACGCGCTACAAAACGGCCCATGCCTGAAAAGGTTCATGTACTACTTTCGGCCGTTTTGTTGCGCGTTTCCATTGGGATACAGCCAAGTAGCCTTCGGAAATGCGCGTTTGTCGCCCGACTTTTTTTACCGCGCGCATATCTAATACGCCTAGGTGTGAACGAGACCTTAGGGTGACTCCTCTCTATGGAGGAGCACTGGAGCCACCCCTGGACAGCAGTATTGTCACCTTGTGGGGAGGGTGGCGTTAGATGGATTTAGGAAATTTAGATGAACACTAACAAATTAAATCTGAACTCCAGATAACACTTTGTAAGCAGTTACAGCAACAGTTTTTCTTCTGTTCTCCTTTTTTTGGGATAAAGGTTTTAGATAAATAAAAGCTGACCACAGTAAGCACCCCTGTCAGTGTCATATGGTTTGTCTCAGCCCTCTATCTGCCAATTTGCTGGACAGCTTGGCCTGGTAAAGGAAGCTGAGAAATAGCGGCCTTACTGGCTAGATCACCTGGTGAAGAAAAACGAATGCAGCCACCACATATAGGGGTTGGTAAGCTGCAATATAGGAAAGTTTTGGATTTAGATATACTGTACATTCATTTCCACTATCAGTTTTGCGTGGACTTTTGCTGAGAGAATGTATAGTTTATATAATTAAAGGGTGTGCATCTGACTACGTAGCCCCCTCAGATTGTCAGCCGCTTCCATCCAGTGATCTCCAATAACACAGGCTGGCTTTGAAGACGACTTTGTGTCTCCCAGACTCCTCCATTGTGCTTCTGTCTGTACAATTCTCAACATGCTGTAGAAACAAGTTCACACTAGACTTCTTTTTATGGTGCTTCTGGTTTCAGTATGATAATTACTGTTTCTGACTGTTTATAAATAAACGTGTCAGCACTACATGGGGCGGTTATTCAGCAGCCTGGCCTATAAATACTTGTTCGCTGCCCTGCAATACTCCGGTCCTGACATACTCCCTTGCCTTGACATCCATGGAACAATGACTTGACTGTTTAAATGAAAATCAGGTTTTAATATATCCGTATCGGGCCCTTTCACACTGGTGTGTTGTGGCAGAGCACCTGTTCTATGTGCAGTGCATTGTGAATGGTACCCGTTGGCACAGTACAGTGCAATGCATGACACATCACCACACCCATACCTTGGGTTATGAAAAAAGGGTCATGCACATTTTTTTTCCACCTATATTTGCTGCGTTGGCAGCTCATGCATAATGAATGAGCTGCCTTAGTGCAATGCATGTTAATGCGTGCCATTACGTACGTGCATTTAAAGGAGAACTATGGGGTCAGTGTTTTTCCCCATAGTTCTCCTTAGGGTAACGGGAGGACACAAACTAGCGTCCTCCCGTTACCCTAAGCTCAGTATACCGCGAGCTACAGCTCGTGGTATACTGAGACGCCGGAGCGGATCCCAACCTGGATGTCGGGATCCGCCCAGCTGCGTGAGTGACAGGTGGCTCTGCCTATCTAGAGGCAGAGCCAGCTGTACCCGCCCGTCAGCGCTGGCAGATCGGAGAGGGGAATCCAGCCCCTCCCCCTGTCACGGCAGAAAGCCGTGACAGGATCGAGAGGTGAGCGAACCCGGTATGTGTTTGCTCACCTCCCGATCTACTGAGCCGACCTGTGACAGTCTCATTGTCACAGGTCGGCTAGAACTATGAGGTGAGTGGAAATCACTCATCTCCTAGTTCTCCTTTAAGAAAGACAACTGATCACTAGAAGAGGAACTTCACTCACCCTCTTGGATTAATCCCGCTTATCTTTTGTGCAGCATTGTCCTCAGTTCACATACTTACCTGCCTGGCAAATCCAGCTTTGCCGCCATGCAATTTGCATTTCATGTGACACAGCCCAGGTGCCGTTCCATCATCTTGTCGTCCTGTGTCAGCTCCTGGTGGTGCATGCAACTGCTTCCAATGGCCACTCTGTGTCCCTACTCTTGAAACCTTCTGGGAAATGTGACGGGGGTATTCCAGGAGGCTGCAGGAGCAGGACACGTCATTCCATCGCATATAGACAAGAATGCGGGCTGGAATGAAAAAAGGAAATGCAGAAATACATTCTATTTCAATGAGTGGAGGGGGTGAGGGTTGCAGGGGGTTAGAGTAGACTTTAATTGTGGAAGGGTTCTTCATGTCTACTAATGTGAACCTGCTCCATCTATAAAATGTATGCACGCAAAAGGTGCCTCTATATTCCTTCAATTAGCTTCTTGAGCTGCCCAGGAGTCCTGAATCCCAGCGTGCTCTAATATGCAAATTCTGGCACTTCTCTCAGTGTTAAGGGCTGATCTGCCCCATGCATTTTTCTATTGGCCCATCACTGAGATGGGTGGCCTTACTGACCAGCAGGAAAGAGTGGAATGGGGTGCGTGGGGATGTGTTGGAGATTGACAATCAGTTCTCCTTGTTATCCAGAGGGCTTCTAATATGCAAATTCTGACACTTGCCTGTACTCGGATTAAAGTATTTTCCTGAATTCAGATCTTTACCCCGAAACCTTGTAGATACCGATGCCAGACTGTTGAGAGTAGCAAGTAGTTAACGTTCAACTGGACTTGTTTGGCAAGTGGCTTCCTCAGTGAACATTACGAAATAAGTTCAGCTGTAGTGTCTTCTACTAGCTATACAATAATCTGACTAAATGAGAATCTTACCCAAAAATGATAGCAGTGCCTGCAGAGAAGGTCTGTTTGGGTCTAAATTATTTCTTCACTCAGGAATCTTGGCTTCATCCCCTTGGGGACCTCCTGCTTTGTCAATGAGGCCATGCATCACCAATCACTGGTACATGGCTTCTTTAGGAAACAGTCAGGTTTGTTTTTTAAGGTGGCAGGAGGGGACAGTGCTAAACACCCCATCTTGTCAACAGTTACATAATGGGGCATCCTGATTTTTTTTGGGGCCTTCTGGCCCCTGTAGGACACATGTGAACCTGGAAGTGCTTGCTCCTGAATGCAAGTGGCTGCTTAGATTTTAAACTGCACAGGCACACTTTAAGAATCAAAAAGTTTGAACCCTGTTACAAAGTCTTCCAGTCTCCAATGTTGTAGGTTGTCTGCCGGACTGAAATACATTTCTGAGTGTGCAGAGATCAGAGTACAAATCCTTTACCTGTCCATTGAGGGATTGTGGCCGTGCTTGCTTGTACCTAGTGTTGCAATGTCCCGTCTCAATCATCCACACTTGCAGTGACTACCTTGGTGTGTGCACTTTCAAATTTTTTTTTCTTCCCTCCACAGGAAATAGTTAAAGACAAGGAACAAGCAGAGAAAGTGGATGATGTCCCGTTGTTACCAGGTAATGAACGTTGAATGGTTTTCAGCTTTGCCCCCCCCCCCCCGTCTTCTTGAAGTGGACTCTCCCTGGCATATATGTATTGTCCAGTGATCGCCATGACCCTTTTATGCTGTACACTGAAGGGGTAACTCCCAGCTTGAATTTGGATCCTCATTCTCACACCTAGAATGCTACAGTCACATTGAACGAGCTGATGCTGTGATTGGCTATCTAATTAAAGCATAAGTCCGGGGAAACATTTTCTTAACCTTTGCAGTAGGTAGCCCCTACCCCCGCACTGCAAGGATTAGCTTCTCGCTTTTGTCTAGGTTAAAAAATGAAAGTTATACTCACCCGAACCTCTGAACTGGCTGGTAGCCCCACTGCAAGGGGGAAGAAACATTTTCCCTGGAGTTCTGCTTTAAGTGGCTTTTTTGGTAGAACAGCAAATCTATTATAAAGATGGCTTTCATGCCGGATTTAAAGAATTCTGTGGCTTGGCTATGCACATTCAAGTATTTCTTATAAAGTATTCAACAGGCTTTAAAACAAGTCCTTAATGACCTCTGTAGCTACATGCATTGATACCGATAATAGTATCGGTGCCGAGACCGAGTATTTGGGCGAGTATTCTTACTCGCCCATATGCTCCGATGCCTAGCCCGATACTTGAGCTTCCGGTATCAGGATGCCGGGCAGCAAGTCATTACACGCTGCCCGTCTTCCTGATTGGCCGGGAAGCCGTCTCCATGCTTCCTCGTCGCATGGAGACTGCTTCCCTGTTGATCGGAAAGCTGGGTGGCGAGTCATTAGACGCCGCCTGGCTTCCTTAAGGGGACTTTCGTAATAGGTATTCGGTATCGGTGGGTACAGGAAAAAAAAATATCAGCACTCAATACCGAAAAAACGGTATCGGTGCTTCCCTACTTCAGACACTGGAGAAATCCATCCTCAGAGTTTATAGAAACTCTTTAAGCAGTTTTTTCTTAGCAGCTCAGCTCACTCTGCCCTCTCCTCATCCCAGAGAACCTGCTTTGTATTTACATTGGAGGATATGAGGCTCCTGGGTCATTGCTGGGAGGGGGAAGCAGGGTGTGCTTAGCTAAGAATGACTTGAACAAAATTGCCTCTGCTGTTAACTTTGAGGATGTCTTTCTCCACAGTTCCTGCAGCTAAAGGGCCTTGAGGGCTTGTTTTAAAGCTCATTGATAGGTGCTCTTTAAAACAAAGTCCATTTATCCTTTTTACCCCTTTCAGCTAACCAGGTTCACAGATGCATACTTACCTTGATCTGATGGATCTGGCCTCCGGTGTTTACTTCCTGGCTGTGCTTTAGCATTAGGCTGGGTTAACACCTAGGCGTATCGAATATGCGCGTTTGTCGTGCGTCTCGTCCCGCTTATTTTTACCGCGATGCGCGGTAAAAAACGCGCGACGAACGAGTGTTTCTGAGGGCTACCTGGCTGTATCCCAATGGATACGCGCGGCAAATACACCCCAAATAAGCTCCTGTACTTCTTTGGGCGTAGGGCGTTTTGCAGCGCATTCCTATGCGCTGTAAAACGCCCAGGTGTGAACCAGGCCTTACAGTAAAGACGCTGGATGTAAACAGACACCGTAAACTGTGGCCGTAGTGGCTCAATGCAACTATACATCTATAGAGGGGGAAGGTGGGTTAAGTCGGGGTAAAGGGGCAAAAGGAACAAGTTCAGTTTGTTTTCAAGTACAATTATCCTTTTAAGAATATGAGAATACTGTAATGTCTGGCCACAGATTCACTTTAAAGGGGAACTGTACACATATCTTTGAAATTACAAAAAAGTCAACTTTAGATATGTTTAGTAATGCCAATCTACAAACACATACTTCTAGATAATTGCAGGAGTTTTATTCTTTGTATTCCTTATTTCTCTTTTCCTTCCCATTCCTCTCACAGTGGCCATTTTTACTAAGGGCAGGTTAATATATCTCCCTTTACTTCCTGGAACTCTGGCACATGTGACTAGGACATGTGACCATGCACTTCATCTCAGGAGGGGGGGGGGGGGGCAGGAGTTCGCCGCAAAGTA